AGAAAAGAAAATAATTCTTCCTTAATTACTCCAAATCATTGATACAAGGCTATATAAATAGCAGTCACAAAGAAGAAACTAAAAAGAAATTCTTGCCTATTAGGATAAGGAAATACTTCCCTATTAGGACAATAAAACCCTAACCTAAATAAAATAGGAAACCTTTAAAATAAAATAAACTATAATTTAACATACACAATCCAGTGCATCATGATCGTACTTAACATGTTGAGGTTGACAGGCATTTTATCAAGGAGAAGATTGAAGAGAAAATTATAAATCTGATGTATGTTCCATCATCAGATCAAGCTGCAGATATCCTAACAAAAGGACTCTTGAGACCCGTGTTTGAAAGGTTGTTGATCAAGCTGAAACTGTTCAATCTGTATAGTCCAGCTTGAGGGGAGTGTTGAATTAGTTAGAAGTTAAGATCATGTGGACTTAGAAGTTGTTTTAAAGTTGTTTAGATGTTGTGTTTAAATTTAGCAAATAAATCTCCTTTTTTGTTAGGGAAGTTAGGAGGTTATTCCTAGATTTTGTTTCCTCTTGTAACCTATAAATAGTGTCTCTATTCCTCATCTTTGATCAATCAATTTGAGAATTTATTTCTTCTCTCTTTTCTCGTGTATGTCTCCCTGGTGTCTCTATCCTTAGTTTTAGAAGCTAACAGAATGGTTAACTTAAATAATCAAATTATTTAGTCAAGAGTTAAAATGAAACTTTGGAACGACTAGATCATTAGTTGAAACTACCCATCCCCATGCATACCTCTATTTTTACAACTCACCATCGCGTCATATTTTTGTCTTCATTTTAATGAAAAGTTTACTGAAAGGTTATTTTGAAACAACTTTAAAGGTTAAAAGGTAAAGCTTTTCAAATAATAAGGACATAATTTAACCCATAAAAAATTTGAACAATGCCATCGGGCATCAAATTTATAGGGCTGACAGGATATCATAACGGAAAAAACGTAGTTAATAATTGAAATTCACCTCGCGGAAATGCAAATGGTAGTCTTGTAGTTTAATGTCACACCAACTGCTAATTAAGAAGAAGATGGCCTCCACCAAACTTAACTTCATTTCATTGCCATTACATGATATTGAACATGATAGGCTTTTTAAATATTGTTCCTCTCTCACACCATCATCTTTAGATGAAGAAACTTTCTCTAACTCAAGAATCGCATCGTCCAAGAATGGAGCTTCATCTGTCTTGACAAACTTCAATAGGAAAAATTACATTAGATAAAATGCAATCGAAAATATTTTCCTAAAATAAAACTAATCATTTTTTCTAATAACCAGAGGATACGGCATATTTCTTCACTATTAAAAGTTTTAAATTTTAAATATAATTATAAAAAAAACCACAACAAGGGTAAAGGATTACAGGAACCAGAAAAAAAAAATTTACACTGATTGATAAAAGCCCCCCCGACCCAACCCCAAACATCCACAATTTTTTCATGCTTTCTTCATAAACCTTTGTATTCCATCAAAACGAGCAGAAGTGCTGATTTTGAACACTTCTATATAGCCTTCCTCTTCATAGCATCCGTTAGATTATACTACCACAAAACTTAAAAGCTTAAGCTAACAAGTTATCATATATTCAATCTTGTATCCTTAACACTCTTCCTCCTCAATTGTGGGCTTGAAAATTGACACAAGATCCAACTAAGTGCTATCAATATTAATTAAGAAAGAAATATTACTAGAGTTCGAACATGAATCTTTTGCTCTATTACTATGCTGAATTACTACTAAACTCGAAAGCTTAAATTGATAGATTATAGTACATTTAATCTTTTATTCATAGTCGTAACACCTCCAACTAAAAATATCTCAACATGAACACAAAGCCATTGAAGATAAAAGGAACTTCAACCAATATGTAATTTGAAGGCGTATACAATCAAGAAGAAAGAATAATCAAATATTGTACCTGCAGGTTTGCAACAAAAACATCAGGTCGATTAGTAGAAATAATCAACAATTCCCCGAGAATTAAAGAAACAATTACATGGCATGCCTAACCTATCCTACCATAATAAAGAAGGTATTGAGTAGAGAAAAATCATTAACAAATAACCTAATTTAAATTTTCAATTTGAAGATGAAGAATTCAATCGTGCAGTTTATTGAATAAAACAGGCCCAACTAATGACTTCAAAGAGAATTATCTTTATTACCTGCCGGAAAAGGATCCACCCATGTATCATGTTGTGTACTTCTGGAGTGATGCCTAAAGCAGGCCAAGTCAATTTGACAAGGACGAGAACGTCATCAACTTCCTGTACAAAGGAGAGAGACTAATCATCGTAAGTTATGAACCATAATTAATAGCACATGCAAAATCAACTCAAAGAAAGATTTGAGGAAACACATACCGTAATGAGATGGCTGTCGTCAAGAACATCAAGTACACCTAAAAGCAATTTCTCATATAACCTGATGTTTAAGTGATAACCAGCAAGAGCTGACAACTTTGACAGTACTTGCCCGATACCTGACAATACTTTAGCACGCTCAGATGAAACCATATTGATATCCCATTCCTACCATGTTCAACAATGGAATATGTCAGATTCTTCTATAAGATCCATAGAGGAAATTTAGAAAACTGAGAAAAGCTAGCCACTCTAGACTAGCATTAAATTATCTGTATTCGATTAAAGTAAACAAAATGAAAACAAAACCTTTGTACTTCTGATCTTCAGAAGAGAACTTTCACATATTCGATGTTCGGATGCCACAAGATCAGCAGAGAAACATAATTCTTCCAAAATATTGGCCTACGGATGTAGACGCCAAACTTCATGGTTAAAGGAAGGAGAAGACGTTTTATGTCTGTGAAAGCTAACTCATTAGTACAGCAAGAAAACAGAAAACAGACCCGAAGTGTTTTTATCAAGTCAAGTTCCATAATCAATAATGTGACTGTTCGCTTCTCAAAGAAGACAAGATCTTTCTCTCAAGTGATTAACCAACTATAAAATTTTGAAAGGAACATTGAACTAAAGCCCCTATTTCATCTGAAATATGGCTTAGAAAAAATGTCTGTTGTATATAACGGTGTTACATAATTATATCAAACTTCACTTACGTTAGAGTATAGATATTAGTATATTTTATATTCTTGTATTAATATTAATTTATCTTTTACCTTCTCCGTATAGGATTAGGTCAACCTTGTATATTTGTCAGACTTTAATAATGAGAATACAGAACATTGGATTCTCTCCAACCTTAGTCTCTACATGGTATCAGAGCTCTAGGTTTTGTGCCCATTAGGGTTTTGTACCTTAGGGTTTTGTTCATTGCTATCCAACACAACTCACCGCCGACCGCCGTCGACCACCGTCTCCGCCGCCGATCACCGCCACCGTCGACCGCCTGCCGACCGCCGCCGCCGCCGCCGCCGCCGTTTGCTGATTCGCCAACGTTGCTGTTTTCCAATTGCTATTCGTGGGTTTCGTCTC